TTACATGCAATTGTCGGAATGTTGCAAAGAACTTATGTACAAATGTCAAAAACCTCTAGTCTGCCAGTTATCTGGAATGTTAAACCCATTTCCACTATAAAAGAAGTGAGGATCAGTCATCCTGCCGGTCAATTACCAGATCAAAAGTTCCACCAGTCATTCAATCCTGATAGCTTCCGCAATCACTCAATCCCTTAATTCCCACAGTTACATAATCCGGCAACTCGTTCAATCACTCAGTCGGGCGGTTCGTGTGAGTACTCAAGACGAAATACAGTCAGGCATCCAATTTCGACTACAATTCAACGGCACGAGCGCGACAAGACCGTTCCGCATCCTTTAATACTTATTGTGTATTGTTCATTTCGTCCTTATTATTGTTTCGTGCGATTATTGTACCATACCGTATAAGACCAGTAAAGGTTACTATCAACGTAGAAGAGTTATAACAACAAAAAATAAACTACAAAATCTTTCCCTGACAAAGACAAGACACTCATATCCCAGTCAACAGATAAGATAACATCGTGAGTGTGAAGTACTTATTTTTATTCTCACAATGATTACACTCAAATACCGGGAGTGGCACTACGCGAAATGTCATAATTTTACTATCAATGGAGTTTACCTGTGATATAAACAAAGCTTACTTCACAACCTGCACTCTCGAAGGTTGTGAAATTCAAAGTTCAGATTTTTGAGAGCTGATGATTACGGAATCCTTAGAAGTTGATCACCTGATATCTCAGGTTATTGCTTTTGATTTATGTTCTGATAACCTTGCATAACCCTCATCAAGACCACATTGGACTTTAATTTCCTTTCCCTTTTTTAAATTTTCGCTCATCAGTTGATAGGATAATGATGAAAATAAGAACTTGTTTCAGGTTGAAAATTGTAGTGGCTCGAAGCAAGCAGTACATAGCTTGCGCTACAGTCCACCCATGCACCCAGTTATGGTATACCACTTGGCGATAATTCTTGCGTACAGTGAGTACAAAACGAATCAAGTCATCCTCATCATAATTACTGAAATATTGATCTGAAATGATATAAGCCGGCACAACATTCAACTCTCAATCTTTCTCTAGTTTAATTCTCTCTATTAAATCCCTTCTTTAGTCAACTCTCTAGGTAAATTTCTCAAAACAGACCCCACCAATAATGTATGATTCATTATAGCTATTCCATTTCATCTTTTTCCACTCTTTCTGGTTGGCATTTTCAGCAGTGCAAAATCGATTATTTCATATTTCAACAACGATAATGTGGCCCATTATCAGATATATGATAACTTACAATTTCCCTTTAAACAGCGTTCGGAACATATAAACAACATAGAGCGGCTTCTCAAGCTCTGTTAATTGAAATCCATTGAATTCAAATCTACAAAAGTACGGTATTCGTACACTCTTTTCTTCATTCTTCCTATTTCTACCTTCCTTTCCATTCAATCACCTATGTTTGCAATCAAGAAGTATGATAAATATACAAACAATAAGTGACGAAAAACATCGCCAATGATTGGCGCTTCAGAAAATACGTATATGTATTTGTGATATTTGGACTTGGCTAGAAAAGCAGCCTAGAAAAGAGAAAAATATGCAAATCGAATAATTATTGCATCGGAATCAAAATTAAATACTAGATGTGAAGTAGATCAAGAGAGTTCACAAACCTGTCCAATTCCGTAATGTCATCCTCAATTTTGACACTTTTCAATTTGTTCATTTCCTCCTTGTTACACACACTATGATATGCCAATACTTCTAACGCCACCCGATACTTCTATAAATTTACAGTTAATTTTATGCATAAACATATGTCCCTAAGGGGAAATGTAGAAAATTCGAGTTAGATGGAAACTTTCCACAGCTAAGACTGATCAAACCTGAAGACTTTCAGAAGCTTAAAGCTTGTTGTATCTGCGCTCATTAAGTTTTATCCAATCTAATTACTGAAATTACGATTACCGAAACTACGTTTGAAATTACGAAAGTACGTTATAGGTACATTAGGTTTCTTTTATTACAGTCTTGATTTCATATACTTAGCTTAATAATTAGCATATTAGGTTTCTCATATCGGATCAACGAATCTGATACACTTTAGCGATATACTGTAGGAAAGTTTTATCTGATTGAACCTGTTCAGAACGTTTTATCTGATTATAAAGCTTGGCGTGATGTAATGCTAGGCCACAGTATACGGCGAATGTTTCGAAGGAATTTTGGTCTTGTTTTGTAAAAGGTCCACCCGCTTTATTAATCATTTGTACGACACCAATCACTCTACAATTATCAAACAAAAATGTACAAATATGATGTGACCGAATAGTCCGGAATTTCCGGGGTAAAAACATAACTTACATTTCACTGAAATATAAGAGAAAATATGGAAGAATAAGAGAGGAACAGCTCGATTCTGATGTATTATTCTTAATAACATTAAGGTAAAAATTAATCAAATATTAATGGAAATTTAAAAAGTCGAAACATACGATTTACGAATGAAAATGGGCATGCAAAGGATATTCCTGGTCTTGTAACCTGTCTTCTGGTCTATCTCTTTGTTAAATCGTGGGTCCTCATAAGCATTTTCGATGTTTAGAACCTGTCCTGTCATAGCAACATATCCACTAATGCCCTTATTGGCTGGAAATCTATAAAATTGATTTTATTATAAGTTGTCGACTAATCTGAATATCATCAAGATAATGATATCAAGACGGATGACTAAAGCACATGAAGAAGGGAAAATGTGAGCATTCAGCCCGTTCAATTAAAGCTATGCCAAGATACATTTCATATTTTCAGGCTAACCAGTTTCCATAACATTGTGTAATCGTTTTTTGAGTAATCTATAATAATTCTCCTTTTCACTTCCAAATAAAAGTTCAGACTGTTCACCATCTATGAAGTAATAGAGAGATTAAGCAATTATCTGTTACCTAATTTCCTCATTACCATCTTCGTTAATTTTAATTTGTTCGTCCTGTTGAGTACCCACATCAAAGATTCTGGCGTATAATTCTTTCCTCTTATGATCTACAAGAAAGAGCGAAGATCGGTCGGCATTTGTCAACTTTTGAGCGAAATTCTGAAAATTTTAATTCATTTTGTGAAATTTCGAATGTTTTAATTAAAAGATTCGTACTGATAAACACGCAATGGAATAAATAAATAGATGACTTACCATAACTTTCATGATAACAGTATCCATACTGACAATATCCTGAAATATCGATCTAATAACGGAACGAGTTATGTCTGTTTCGATGTGACATTCTAAAGAACTTACTTTACGACACCGAGCAAGAAAGTATTCAGTTTCCGTTCTTCCTTGTTGTACCATAAATGAGCGCTACCATCTTTGCTTGATGTAAGCTAAATTACTTGCAGTTAATTTGTGACGTGAAGGAACTATGCAGCATGATGGACATCATTAAAGAATCATCCGTGAGGAGAATCGTCTGGTCAAGTTCAGAACTTTTTAAAGACTGTAAACTTCCGCATTAATGAATTTGCATGTTCGAAGAATTCGTATGTGGGACCTTCTATTAGAAGTTCAAATGAAGCTAAGATTGCTTAGAGAACAGTGGAATACCTGAGCATAATGAATGAGAGCGCTACCCCAGATGCAAAGGATATTGATGGAAATGTGATCTTGTTCAGTGAGCGAACGATAAAAGTGAATTTCTCCTGCAAATTGCAAAAGAGCTAATACTTATGGAGAAAGATGGTTCATTTTAGAAAATAGAAGTTGTTCGATTTTGTAAAAAGAAGATGAAAATATTTCATTTATTATGTTGTTCAGCTGACAATACCTGTGACTTACCTATCAAAATAAATTAGATATTCTCAACTACCTGGATCATAATGAAAAATAATTTTGAACGATAAACTTGTTAAATCCCACAGTCTTCCAGGCTATAATTTCCCATTCAAAATTCCTCAAAAAATTCGTCCAAGTTTGTCGCGTTTCAATAATTAATAATAATAATAATAGTAATAATAATAATAATAATAATAATAATAATAATAATAATAATAATAATAATAATAATAATAATAATAATAATAATAATAATAATAATAATAATAATAATAATAATAATAATAATAATAATAATAATAATAATAATAATAATAATAATAATAATAATAATAATAATAA